ATTTTCATTAATATTATGTCTCATCCACTTGCCCCAAAGAAGAGCATTTGGCTATAGCACATGCATGCACAGAGTCCTACATTTAGTCCCCAGCATCTCCAGGTAGGACTGCGAATCTCCTTTGCATGAAATCCTGGAAAGCCACTGCCCATCAGTATAGAAAATGCACAACCAGATGGACCAACGTCCTAACTCGGTGTACTACAGGTTCCTATGTAGCTATGCCTCTTCTAATCCAGAATGTGGCAGGTAAACTGGAGACTGGGAGTAGCCACCAGCACCATATAACATCGATCCTAAAGGATCTACGTTGGCTCCCTGTTTCTAAGCACAATTGTAAGTGTTGGTGCTGACCTTTAAAGCCCTAAACAGCCTCGGCCGAATATACCTGAAGGAGCGTCTCCACCCCCATCATCCAGCCCAGACACTGAGGTCCAGCTCTGAGGGCCTTCTGGTGGTTCCCTCACTGTGAGCAGTTACATGGAACAAGGCAGAGGACCTTTTTAGTAGTGGTGCCCGCTCTGTGGAATGCCCTCCCATCAGATGTCAAGGAAATAAACATCTATCTGACTTTTAGAAGACACTTGAAGGCAGCCCTGTATAGGGAAGTTTTTAATATTTGATGTCTTACTGTGTTTTAATTTGTTGGAAGCTGCCCAGAGTGGCTGAGGCAACCCAGTCAGATGGGTGGTGTTTAAATAATACAATTATTATTAATTAATAATAATTAAAATTCTTTCCCAACCTGTCTACAGATCTACACTTCTTCCCTGCCCTCTTTGACTCTATTTCTTTTCAAACATTTCTGAATTCTTTCAGAATGTGTGTCATGGAAGCAAACTAATTTACTTAATTTGATGTTTTCCGATCACAGATCTTTAAATTTCTTGGCCCAGAGTATTATACAATATATGCAATTCTGAGGGCAGGAATGGGCTTCTGAATCAGACAGTTCTGTCCTATCTGGTTGAGTTGTACTTATGCAACCCAAAAGGACTGAAAAGTGCTTAAAATGGAAGGCTATTTTTGACACTCAGGAAAATGAACATGAAATGATGCAAGCAGTTCCAGCTCTGCCCCAGCCAAACTGGATTTTGTGAAAGCCCAGAATGAGTTGTAACTATGATATAAATTCCTATCAGATGATGTATTGACACTATATCCAATACATAAGGAACTGACTCAACTCTGAATTTGCCAAGATCTTTCCATTAGTCTGTCAAATTTCACCATTTCACTGCATCTTTATGAAACAACAAGTCTTAAGTCATCCTTCCCTAACCTAATGTCCTCAATATGTCAGGGGTGGTGGGAATCCTAGCCCAAAACATCTGCAGGGCAAGAAGCTGGAGCCGGCTTTGGTGAAACAAAACATGCTCAACCCAATTGATATAAAGGAGAAGAATGCAAAACGGTCTGGATGCCAGCCAAGATATTGTTATGGATGCCCCTAAATTCCTGGGTGCCAAATCCCCCCTCCTAAATTTACTAGGTGTGGTTTTTTCCTGACCAAGGAATCGTCTAGCAGATAAGCCATTAAGAAACAAAGGCTGGAGCTTAGCAAAGCAGAGGCTGTGCCAGCCACAAATGGGGAATAGTTAGCAAAGACAATACCAGAGCTGGGAGGGAAACGTTTCAGAATCACTGTGGGCCTGAAGTAAGCAAATTGGGGGGGGGGGTCTCAGTTTTGCAAGCCTGAGAGGAAGTGGTCAGAGCAGGGAGGGAAAATCCTCTCCAGTCTGGAAGTGGCAAGCAGGAGGGAGAGATGCAGAGGCATGGCTTACGTCTCATTAAAATCTGAGACGATCACACCTATGGGAGATGCTCTTGGGGTGTAATGCTGAGATTCCCTTCCAACTAGAATCAGGTTGCATATAAGTGTAAAGAAACCTTCCATCATGAAGACACCACAGTCTCCTCTGTACCTCATTCCCAAAAGAAAACACAGAGCCCAGGTTAAAGTGTGCCTGCAACCCCTGGAATCTCACACCGCTCATGGAGACTGGGGTGGCGTGTAACAATATGTTGCATTTCCTTCAGAAATTGGCATTTCCGGCACCAACAAATCCATCGCCAATATAATGAAACTGATTTGAATATGGTGCACGCTCCGTGCTTCAGTCAGGGCTATGCTTGGTTCTTGTTTCCGGAAAAGCCTGCAGACTGTGAGAAGGTGGCTTCACATCCGTGCAGAAACACACATCATCTCCATAATCCAGATCTTTCCGTCTGCAGAGCACCTTCATTAGCTCAGCCGCCACAGCTATTGTGCTCACCTATCGCTGCAGCTGCTGTCAGACTCTCAAGCAAATGAGAAGCCGATAGACACAGACAATGCTAATTGCTCCCTAAAACTAAGCAGAATTTTAATGCCACTGTGACTCCATCTGTCCTTATTCCACTACCAGCCCTCTCTTTGCACTCCCTGTCATCTGTGGAGCATCTCACTCACCCTTGTTTGCCTTAATGAAACTGATGCAACACTGTATGCCAATAAAGCCTTATTGCTTGTTGCGTTAGGACCTATTATTATCATTTTTTTATTAGTAGTAATTGTATTTATTTATACCCCAGGTCTCCCCCTTGACAGAGATTCAAGGTAAGAACAACATAGGGGGGGGATTAAAAAATTAAACATTGATAGGATTAAATCTCTCTCTCTCTCCTCTCTCTGTCTCTGAACTATTAAAACCATATCAATAACTGCAATGAAAACAACACAGCACCAGCCCTTTCATTAAAAGCAGTCAGCTCCCGAAAGCTTGTTGGAACAGGAAGGTCTTCATTTGCCAGCAGGACAACAAGGAGAGAGCTAGTCTTGCTTCTCTGGGGAGGGAGTTTTAGAGTCCGGGAGCAGCTATCAAGAAGACCCTTTGCTGCATCCTCAACAAGCATACCTGTGAGGGTGGCGAGATCGAGAGAAGGGTCTCTTCTGAAGATGTCAAAACCCAGGCAGGTTCGTATGAGAGGATTTTTTTTTTGGGGGGGGGGCTACCTTTGCTGTGTTAAATGTGCAATCTGTAGTTGACCTCCTCTGTAATGCTTTATCTTTCAATCTTTAAAATAATATTTTTGTTTCCATTTAATTATGTTGTTTTGAATGTACACTTCATATTTTGTTCTGGATTGTTTTATTTGATGTTATAATGTAGGCTGGAAACCACTTTGAGATATTAGAACTACTAATCATATCATCATCATCATCATCATCATGTCTTTCAAATAGCTTGAACCTAAGACATATAGAGCTTTATATGTCATAACCAGCACTTGGGCAGGGGGAGGAGAGTGGTGTAACTGTTAGCAAAACAGGCATCCATTCTCTGACACACAATTCCGAACATCCAGCCCCGTCACTACAAGAACATGAATTCTCCAACAGTCTTTGATGGTACATTTGTCTTTTTTGGGAAATAATGAGCCATGTTCCAAGCTAGGGACACACTGGGGCCTTGGGTATATGTGTATCAAGCAAGACAGATGTTTCACAAGGCAGGGTTTCTTTTACTAATTACTCAATTTAGGTCTAGTTCTCATGGACAATTAGGCAAATTCATTTTAGGGGCAGGTTCATGCCTAACACCACAGTCTCTAACAGCAAACTTGGGTAGTGGGGAGCACCAACAGAAATGGAGCCCAAACAGGGCTGCTGTTAAATAAGGAGGAGGCAATGGCATGTGTTTGGGGTTTTCTGTGAGGGAAGGGCACTGAAATTTGCAGAAGTACCAAACAAACATCTCTAAAATGTAAGGGAGCCAAAAAGTCCTCCAAAACAGCCCAGAAGGGTTTGAACATGCTCAGTTGGAAACGAAAAACAGAAAACCAAGGAGGGGAGCTGCTTCCAGCTTATAATATCCTAATGAAGGACATGGATGCTTTTTAACTGGAACCCTGAACAGAAGTGCTATGAAGTGAGGAGGACACCCTGCAACATCTTGCTGCCCATTATTCATTTTATTATTATTACTTACTGAATTTGTTAGTCGCTTTCTCTTGCCCAGGGCAACCCAAAGCAACTTGCAACCAAACAGACAGACACAAAACCCCCACAAAGATACATTAAAGCCAAGAGAGAGAGAAATAAACACATTAAAAACACCCCACCCTCTTCTAAAAGGCCACAGATAGTTAAAGGCCAAAGACCTGCTTATAGAGGAAAGTTTATATATGATGGTGCCAGGCGAGCCTCCCTGGGGAGAGCATTCCACAAATGGGGAGCCACCACAGAAAAGGCCTGTTCTCATGTTGCCACCCTCCAGACGTCTCATGTCAGGGTCCAGGTTGATTCATATCACACTTGCAGCATAGAATCTCACGCACAGATACAGTACATGCTGGGTGCATATGAAGCAATTTAATGTCACACTGTTACAAATGATCCATCACCATAAGCATTTTGGCCTGCCTTCAAAGCACTCCCTTGTCATGGTTGGACCATTATTTTGGTGAAGTTTGGACTGGTGGTGTCAATTCCCTCCTGCAAGAGTAGTGGGCCTGTTCAGGTGGCCCATCCTTGGAAAGCGAGGGAGGCTGATAGGTTCCTGGAACTAACTTAATGTTAGTTCTGCCTAATGTTAATCAGTCCTCCTGTGTGGCAGCACTGAACACCCTGCTCATGTTAGGAAGGCAACTTCAGTGTATTGTTCTCAGATGCTGCTTAAAACCCTGTTTTGTTTTGGCAGGCCTACCCTGTATGAATGTAAATGTTCTTTAACATGTATCTCTGCAGGAGCCTGCATGTCCACACAGTTCTGGCAAGCCATAGTTTGGCTTACTGTGATGTACAAATGAGGCATAGCAGGACGTCAAGTAGAGACGAGTGAATCCATCTATATGTCCAGCCAGTGGTGCTTTCACATGTGTCTGCTCATAAATATGTTCCATCTTGTTTCTGAATACATCTGCAAATCTTTTTTAAAAAAACAAACAGCTGTGGCAGTAACCTATTGAAAGGTGAACTGAGGCAATCCACCACTTGTCAAAATTGTTCCTTCTTTCTTTCACGTGGCTTCAGAAGCATCCTTGCAATAACTTGGATCAGAAGGACTAGGAATTTCCTTGGCTTCCAGAATCACACAACAGCCTCCTGAGCTAAAGACAAAAGGAACTCAAGTGTTCCTGTTCCTTGCTTGTCCATCCCATCCCCTCACCCGCCAGCTATCAGTCTATACAAGAGAGAGAGAAGGAAAGACAGACCTAGGAGATCTGTATACTATAATATTACCAATAAATTTGCCTCAGAAAAAGGAAATGGGAGAATTTGTGCTACTACTTTGGTTTGGCTTTTAAAAAACCTCAAAAATAACTCCTTCTCACTCAATTCATTCTGTGCACGGCATCAGGCACAATACAAGGATGACAATAAATGGGACCGTCTGGAATTTGAACAGTGTATAGATCAAATGCCTTACATTTGCTCAGCTCCTTCTCATTTAGCCAAGAATGGATGTGTCTCTTGATTGTCTGCACCAGAAATAATTGTGTCTCATATATCCCCAGTCAGACGCCTTTAAGTGACCAGTGAGACAAGACCATGGGAAAATGGCCCTGTGACACCTGCTGTACCCAGGAAGACTCTGCTCATCTCTTAACTGATTCCCCTGTGGTACAGGTGAATGTCAGTCCTCATTATTGATTTGGATCTGACAGTCAAATGTTAGCACCGGAACAATACACAGAAGGGGACAAAATATGCTCTATCTCTCTTTTTCTTTCATGTGCATGTAGGAAATCAAGTTTAGCATGATCCTGCAAACACCGTCATGGAACTGTTTATCATTGTCAATAGCATGGTGCCCTCCAGATATTGCAGAACCCCAATTCCCATCATCCCAAACCATTTCCTGTGTTGTCTGGGATGGACCGGAGTCATGAAATTCCCACAATCCTTTTCCTTCAGAAGGTATCAGAAGGATCATGAGAACTAGAAGTCATACATGCAATTGCTGGTATATTTTATGCACACCCTGAATGTCCCACTACATGTGCAGTGCACTGGAAAGGATCTTTAAAAGAATGGCTACACATTGGAGGCTATAAGGGTTAGTCTGAATCACTGTTTTCATATGTGGCAGGACTGTAGGGGAAAGTGCATTTGTGCTAAGTTAGTGTGCCACATAACGTGGCCCAGTATAGCTCAGGACAGAAGTTTCCCTCTCTGGTTGCTGGACTTACCCCGCTCACACGTTCTCCCCCAGTAGCCAGTGCCAGTGCAGTCACAGATGAAGCGGTTCCAGCCATCTTTGCAAACAGCATTGTTCTTACAGGGATAGCTGTCGCACTGCTTGGTGTTGTGCCGACTGCAGGATGATTTGACCCCGGCAGCGTTCTGCTGTTCCGCCAGCTGCCGGATGTTCTTGCTCCGCCCATCGATGAAGAGATCTCGGATGCAGCCCACATAGCCATAGTTCAACATGGCTGTCCAGAGCTCAGTAGGGAGGACGAGGCCTGCCCGGTTTTCAGGCAGTCCGCCCAGATACATGTCCCCTTCCAGATCCAAGATCTCACTCTCCCCGCTAGCAGTGAAGGGTGTCCGTCTGCTGTTCACCGATATGGTGCCTGAAAGAAAGAGATCACGTCAGCCAGCAGCCACAGTTGTGGCACAAGTCAAGTTCCCGTGGCAGTTTGAATCCTGGTGAAAGGATGGGGTTTTGGCACAGGAGAGTGAAGATGTCAGCTGAGACAAAACACAGCTGACACAGAAAACTTGTCCTGAAATGCTTTGCTGCCCTCTGCTAAGCCTGTCAAAAAACAGAGGCACAGAATAATAAAACTGATAGGTTGGAAGACAAACGAAGGACGTCCAACCCAATCCTCTGCAGTGATGCAGGAACCTCAAATGGCTATTTTTGCACATAGCCTTGAAAGTCCTACATCAACAATCTGGCAGTCTGGTGCAGGAAGATTTGGGAGGAAGAGCAAGTGTTCTCTCTTAGGCTCATGCTGGAACTCAAGACAGTACACACCTCGATACAGTGCACAGTGCAGATCTCAAGGATTAATGTGAAATAACTGCATCACAAAGCCCTGGTGCACACCTGGCCCACAAATTTAAGCCCACTCATGTATACGAAAATAATGCATCCTGTAGTTTTTCAAATTATAGTGAGGGCAGAAAGAATACTAAGGAAGAGGGATCCATAGCTTGGTTAGAGACCATATTGATCTGCATGCTGAAGGTCCAGATTTCAGTTTCTAGAAACTCTAGGGATTGGGGAACTGAATTCATGGTCTACAGATCAGGAGCAGCAGTGGATTGGGGTCTTTCCCACCTTAGCTGCCACCCACCTGCTGACCTTTTTTCATGGGCATTACCATTTGGAGATTGCCCCATTGAAATAGATGGGACAAGCTTCTTCCTCTAAAGAGACCATAAAGCTACAGGATCTCCTTCTATTAAAATCAGAGTAATATTGTTTAAAATCCCATCTACTTGAAGCAGGAAAATTCAGCACAAAAGTAGCTCTGTCCCACTAAAATCACCTTACTTTGAAGTGCTGAACTATGGTTGGATTCTGCACTTTCTAATCCACCCACAATACAGCATTATTGTCCCGTTGATTTCCATAGAAAATAGCAAAGCTTGTGAGCACACATGCTTCACATAAATGGGGCTTAATGAATACAATCATATAATCACTAACTGAACCCCATGTGGCTTACATCTGAGTAGACATGTATAGAATTGCACTACAAAATGTTCAGCTTGGCTTGGATTCTGCCTTCTTCCTTTTATATTTCTAATGCTAAATGTTGCTACCCAGAGGCCAGATATCTGCCATATATGTAAGCAAGACTAAGAAGCAATGAATGCTGCTGATTGAATTTATCCTCGCAAGTTAATTAAATGCAAACCAACCTGCCCCACACAAAAATCAATTATTTGATTACTTATTTACATCCCCATAAAATTCTGGAATTTCTCAACAACAAGCACAGCTGTTGCAAACCTGCTAACATTAAACTATAGTAGGGTTGAAGAAGAAAATACAAATTTCTCCTAGACCCCTGAGAATATTTTTCTGGCTAAAAAAATAATACCTAAGTAAGCTAGAGAATTCTGTACTATCTACTGAAGGTATGTTGTTTTGAAAAAGCAGAAACATCAAATTCCAGCACCATTCATCCCACATCCAGTCTTCCTCTATATATGATTCCCAAATGTAGTGTGGGTTTAAAAAACAAAAACTTGGAAGCTGGAATGACATAAGGGAGTATAAAAAATAGAATCTCCACAATGAATTTAACAGCAAATATTTAAATGTCTCGTAGTACCAAAGGAATTGAATGCCTGCCCTAGGAATTTGTAACATCCCTCCCACCCCCAGCTTTTCAACAATAACCTTTGTTATTGCTTTTCTCAAAATCCCAGGGGTGGATTTCATCTTAGAAGGAAGCTCGACATTCTACCTGGATTTTGTTGCAAATTAAATCTGATGGCAGTATAAGGATTTCCAAAACTCTCGTGTGAAATTATACTAGATTTATTTATTCCTGCTTCCCTTGAGATTCCCCAGATGCTCCATGCTGGGGGAAACACGTGTTTGATTTGAATTTCACATTAGGAGGAACTTCGGTGGCAACTCTTGCCTGGCATAGTAGCGATGGTGGCTAGGTTCAGAATTTCACGGTTCAGAAATTAGCACCCCCAATGCTGAATATCCTGGTGCCCCTTCCAAACCGGACTCAAACTCCTCTAAAGTTCAGCACAATTAGCAATCAGGTTTGACCATCTCTGGTCTCCCTGCCACACACCCTTCACTTTTGCACACAAATTCATAGGGCAACAGCAATGGCAATGGGAAGAGGGTCTAGTGATGGGGTCATAGCAGCATCCCAGATGCCAGGAATCAAAGGAATTGTTATGTCCAGGGTTCCTGCCCTAGAAGAGGAATGGCTATGTATTGTTATCAGGCTGACCAGCCGGCAGTTCCCCAGATTTGCCTTTCATCCTTTCCTAAAGGCAGAGACAATATTTTTCAGTCTCTGGTCTCCAAGAATTCTCAAAGGTCAAAGACCAGTGGTCTTTGATCCTGTTCTTCAACCATCGTGAAGGGTCTGTGTTTCTATAGTTGGGGGTGGACTATTCCCAGGAATTTTTTTCTACGTACCTGATCTGCCATCTCTCTGAATATCAACGTGATACCATTCTCCATCATTCGCTTTCCTCTGAGTGGCCTTCACTTTGACTGTTCCAGAGCCCATGTCGAGAAGTAGGTAGGTGGACTGAAGCACCACCATACAGAGTGGACAGAATTGTGGGGGACCTCATATAGGAGCCCCACCACACCTATGCTGGCCTCTCTCTCGCGAAACTGTCACCTAGCAACCACTAGCTAGACAGCCTAACATAAAGCCCAGACAGTCCCAGAAGACGTATAAAAAGTAATAAATTTGAGTGTCATGAAATAAAGCAAAACTGGAAATATTTAATTATAATTGTATATTATACACCATTAACATCGTCATCGTCATCATCAAAATCACAATCATTCTAAACCTATAAATTAAGACCCAGTTGCTCTGCTTTATTTCATGCCTGGGCTTTAAAAATATGGGGAAGCCCTTTTGTCATACACCCTAAGCGTAGCCAATGTTGGGACTCAAGACAGCACATTTTGGGAGTGTCACCCAACTGTAGAATTCCTCTCTAATGAGAAAAGCTGTCACGACATGTCTGTTTCAGTGAGCAAGAAACCAAGCCTACCTCTAGCATAGCACTTCAAATGTTTGACAAGGTGCCAATAGGGGTGCGCAAATATTTATGTTGCTCCAAGAGATAGGACCCAAACCACAATGGGTGAATATGAGGGAAAAGAATTTCACTAAACAGTAGAAAATTTCCTAGTGTCAGAGCTGTCAGCATGGACAGACTGCACGAATATGGGGGAACTCTCTTCATAAAGGCTTAAAGCAAGCAAGAAGCACCTTTCAGGATGTTGCATAAGCAAGTAGAGATGCTGCACGAAGCAGGGATGAACCAATGACCTTTGAGGTCCTTTCCTACGTGAGAGCTAACCCCTCCCACAACACAAGGCTAACTGAAAACAAAATGAGAAACCCTGTCACTTGCCCCAGAAGCTCTGTCTATATCCCAATTCCTGAAACAATACACAAAAATACGTTCATGGTGTGCAAGAAGATGAAGTAACTGGACACCAGCCAGGATTATTTTGGCTTTTGGCCTACTACTGTTCAGCATTCACAGAGGAACAAACAAGGGTCAAGCTGTTCCTGTGTCAGAGATGGTAAGCCAAAAAATTTTTGAAGCTGCCATCAAGTCCGGCTAACAATATGCACGCAAAAGCAGACAAAATGGCTCTCAACTCACTTTGGTGGTCCTGGTCAGGATGGAAGACAAATAAACAACAGACAATTTGTATGTTAGAAGCCCCTGGATTGGCATCATACCATAATGACAAGGCTGGATCGGAGAGCAGAAAGAAGGAGCTCTGCACAAGCTGAGCAGAGAGCTAAATGTGAGAAGAGGACTTAATCCTTCTAGCTGTATGCTTTTTCGAATATTCACATACTTGGGCCCGAAAGGTGAGGAAACCACAGCTGGGCGGCCAGCCAAGAACATTAGCTGAATTGTTCAATACAAAATGAGGAGGGAAGCAAACCAAGCTATTCTATACCCTCACACAATTAATAATACAGTTATCCAAGACCAAAATAGTACCTGATGACATCCTGAATATGGCCAATCCAGGGGTACCACCTGAAAAAATATTAAAGAGGGGCCAGTAAGCCTCACCCCACCTAACAATCACATAATGGGCACACCATACCAAATTGAATTGCAATACCCATCAACTTTGGGGACCCACATTTTAGGGAGAGGAATGAGGAAATCTCAGCCCGGAATTGACTCCAGGCATCAACCCATCCCCCAACCCCCAGAGCCCCCTATCCTGATGATTCAGCACCCCAAGCAAATGGTCCATGGAAATGTAATTTCCAGGGCAGCTTTGACAGGTGACATGTCAGAGCTGGGACTACAATCCTGGGCTCTGTATTAGGAATCATAGCAGCAAAGATGGTTAGGGGTGGAGGAGACCCCAAGCCGATCACCCTATCATTGCTGCCAAGTGAACACCAGGCCAGTAAATGGGAGGTGAGGGTAATGAATCTCTCCAGCTCAATAAGAAAGGCAGATGGAACTTGTGGACCACAATGTATCACCCGAATGAAGACAACATTACAAGCCTTCACATTCGAAACAAGTGGGAGTTTGACAATTACCGCACAAAGATGATCATCCATAAAAAACAAACTCCAATGAAGGGAAACAATAGCTTGAAATTAAATCACTGACTACCTAGTGCCCAAAGATTTGGGTGTTGATCATGCAAGTTCCAGTTGGAATGGGAGTGGTTATCCGACAAAGACAGGGCTTGATTTTCAAGGCTATTCACTCTCCACAGTGAGGCATTCAGGCCTGGCATCTGAAAAAACAATCAAACAATAAGCAGATAATGCTTACTCCCAAGTTTTCTGTGTCATTGTGAGTATGAACAGAACATCTAGGGTTCATCCTCGCTGCAAAAGTCCTTCTTCCTCCTGTTAGAGTCCCTGCAAGCAAACAAACCAGAAAGATTTATGGATGGGGCTGGACATCAAGCATTGCATGGTAGGAGAAAATATAAAGGTAGGGGAAGAAACAGACTAATGTTCTGCAAGAACCATGGCAAGCAGAAAATAAATAATCAGTATATAGACAAAAGAACAAAATTGAGAAACATCATCTTGACCAAGCCTATAAAGGATTTGGAAATGATAGCGCAGTTTAGGTAGCGAAGAAGTGTCTGTCCACAAGGACTTCTCATGGGTAAAATCCAATTAATCAGATCGGCAAAAAGAAATTCAAATGGGTGCTGTTCTCTTCAAAGAAGAGAAAACAATTAAATAGGAAACAATGCAGACAGAACCCCATGAGATAGTAGAGCACTTGTGATCTGGTAGATGATTAAGACAATATGATGCATTCTCCAACACACCACACCTTCAAACGCCACACACCAAATCTAACCCATAAGCAAAACCAACCAGTGTCGGGACAACCTAAGTCATAAATCACAACCAATAAATCCATTCTGAGAATGAGCAAGATTGGGCTTGCTACGAGAACTTGAATGGCTGACCAGCAAGTGCTGGAAGGAAGAGGAAGGGAAGCGAATGAAAAAGCCCAGTATATTAGAAGCCCCAGACACTGAATTCTAATCCCTCCATATTATCAAACATGATTACAGCCAAGAGATAAGGGAGAGGAAATATATGCAAAAAGTTAGTCTTCATACACCCCTTTGCCAAGAGCCAAAACTATAGCAATAAGTGCAATCTTTCAAACAAGACACAGGGCAAAGAAACATAAGAGACCAGATGTTATTTCCTTAGCTCAGATAAGACCTCATAAACAAGCAAGCACATCTTTATTTTGGTATTCGAGAAGAAAACAAATCATATACCATCGGACAATAGACTATTTTTTCTGTTCTTCAAAATATATTTGTGACAAAGAAAAATAAGAAACACGCAACACACAAAATCTGTCTTAGCTAGCAAAACACATACAACCCACATCCAGTCGAAAGCTATGGAAAAGCAGTTAGCATATGGAGGCCAGCACAGAGCAAGAGAAAGAGGACCTATAAAGACAGGAAGCAGCCATTGAATTCTCAGCGGAGATGGACACTCAGGACCTAGAAGATCATCACAGCGTGCGTGTAGGCAAATTAAAAATATCGTACCGTGAGGAATTGTGTAATGAAGAACAAGGTGGCATCAAAAATGACAAATTTTAAAAAGATATGCATTAAATAAGTTACTTCAGCGAAAGATGAAAAAAGTAACCTAGAATGTGTGTGTGTGAGAATTGTGTGAATGTGTAGTGTGAATGTAGTGTCGCGAGAACGAGAGAGCAGAGAAGAGAGAGTGTTGTTGTGCCCTGTGGGTGGCATGAGTTCCGTAGATACAAATAGTGGACAAAAATACCTCAATAGATGAAGCATCATATAGATGTGCCATAAAGAAGATGTCGCGTCCTGCACACTTTGGACATCCATTTAACAAATTCTAGCACCCACCCCAACTACAACATGCCAATTACGTGAATACAAATGTCCTCTGGTCAGACAAAAAGGCTTATAGCACACCTGATCACATATTTTAATTTTAGATTCATCAATATAGTTGGTGGGTAAAACAGAAAAATGGTGGTGAAGTCGAGGTGGGAAAAAAAAAACATAAACAAGGGTGTGGAACAAAAGAAGAATTTCAGGCAAGTTTGGTTGGAGATCTAATCCAGGCGGCGGGAACCTTCATGTCTCTTGGCTCCTCAAAAATCACTGCAGATGTTGAGATCGGCTGAAGATTCAGCTCCTTGCTTCTCATCTGAGAGACTTCAGATTGAGGCTTGTGCCCGGCTAGTTGCGTATCAACTACTGTTGACACTGACAGCAGCCCTCTCGAATAGCAGGCAGGAGTCTTTTCCCAGCTCTGTGGTGGAGATGCCGAGACATAAAACTAGAGAAACCTTTGCAATTTCATATTTAAATGTGCTTCTGCTATTGAGCTTACTGCTCTGTCCACAGACCTCTAGTTGCCTTGGAAAGGCTCCTCTTGTTCCGCCCCCCAAAAGGGGGGGGGACTTAAGGAGCACCAGCAGATGGAATTGAATCCAAGGGAGCTGCTCTCTCTGATATCAGGCTAGTAATAGGGAGTGAACTGACCCCCAGACATTGGAAGAGCACATGAGAGGGGTTACAAGAAAGCTGTGAGCGTAAGCTCTTGCTCTCCATCACCGACCCCCCCTTGTAGGGGGACTTCCTTTCTTCACAGAAGGGGAGTGAGGACTTGTGCCCTCCAAAGGTTGTTGCGACATCCAACTCCTTATCAGCTGCTCTATCATCTTCCCTCATACACCAGAAGTTTGCGAACCTTCAAAGGAACTTGAATGTTGAAGATTCAAACAGACAAACAAATAGCACTCTTCCAATTCTTTAACTGCGGAATTTTTGCTCCTGCAGCAGAGCGATGGCCACACAACTTGGAGATGGCCCTGGTTGCCTGCTACCTCCCTCCTCTAGTTCTCAGTTTTGTCCTTTGTAGAACTAGCAGGGAGGAAGAGAGTGACGAAAGCTAGAATTAGTTGCCTGTCATGGGTTCGTGGGCTCCCACTTATGGTTGCTCTCTTGCCTTCCACACACTTATCCC